CGAAAAAACGTATACAACATTTTTTTTCTTAGAATTACTTTTTCCGTCGATTCCTATAGTTAAAATGTTATACAAAAAATCCACCCCCGAGATGGGGTGGCAACCACCCCCGAGGCTCTAGCGTACAGCGGCATGATATAGAAAATGATCCTTGAGCTATTCCCTACCTTCTGTGAAAATTTCAAGTAAATCCATGGTGGACGAAATAACTGGTCAAAGCTGTGGGACCGCGGAAAAAACCAGCAGGGAACGGATCTAAACTGTCTCCCAAAGGTGACGTAGGTGGGACTAGCTTGGCCGGAACGAAGCGTGGAGAGCCCAGCTCGGGCGACATCAACGAGCGACAGCGAGGTACAGTCAATGTCTGATTCGGTAGTGGGCAGTGCCGTCTTTTGGTCAGCGTCGGAAGTATCGGAAAGCGATAGGAGGAGTATGACGCCCATACGGGCTTCCTCCGTCCTCGCGAAGACACCAAGTCGGGAGTCACGTCCCACGTACAAGGACGTCATGGTGATGGCTGGTGGTGAGGCCTCTGATCCGGCAATAACTCCTATCAGACGGTCCGCACGAATTGCGGGCAGAAAAAGGTCCAAGGAGGGCGGATTCTTTAGGAATCCCTTAGACACCGAGCCGGACCTAACGACGGAGGCTGAGTCGGAGGGAATGGTGGCGCCACAGGCCCCCAAAATACCGCAAACCAAAAAGGGGCGAGGAGGCCACTCTACCACCCACTATGTGGAGCATACGCAAGCTCGGCGAGAGCTGTACGAGGGCGAGGGTGAAGACGAAGAAGGGTCAGACTCTGACCCCGAACTAATTAGAGAGTACGAAAGATCGAAGCGTCGATCCTCCAAAAGTTCGGGGGAGTGGGACAATAAGCTCTCCGCAGAATCTCTCTGCGAGAAGGCAGAGGAGAGGGCGAAGACAGTTTTTAACTTTGTCCAAAAGTCGGGCAACTTTAAAGGGACCAGCGTCCGGGACATCAAAGAAGCGACTCAGTCGCTTCTGGATATTGTGAGGGAGGCTCTATCGCGCACCACCTCGGACGAAATTACACGGCTAAGGGCCGACAATAAAAGATTACGCGGCCAAATCAGCTCCGTTAACGAGGAACTAAAGTCCCTCCGAAGAGATTTCTCGGGTCGGGGGCCCGAACCGGAGCCGGCGGCTGTAGAGCGTCCTACTGAGGCTACAGGGGTGTCGAGGAGTGAGCTCCTTAAAGTTGTGGAGTTCCTCCAGAAGAACATGGTGCAACATGTAGGCAACGTGATCTCTGCACGCCTTGAGGGCCTCGAGGTGGACGGACGGCTGCTACCAGGCCAGACCCATAGGCCACTGCTGTACACAGATGTGTCGGGCCAGCAGAAGCGGCAAGTCCAGTCAAGGCGTCCGACAACGCAACCGCCAGCTCCCACTACTCTCGCCCCGCCTGCAAATCTGCCGAAAAAGGCAAGAGAGGTGAAGAGGACTAAGCCAACACCACCGATACAGGTATCGGTGATGGCGACCCCTAAAACGAGATCTGCAGCATCAGCCCCTTCCACCTCGGGGAGGGCTCGAGCATCCGAACCACCTGAAGAGTGGATAACGGTGGGGAAAAAAGGGCGCCGGGAAAAAAAGAAGACGCAAACGTCAACAAAACCGTCACCGCCCCCGAAGAAGAAGGTGCCTCGGGCCCCTAAAACAATGGCCGTCGTGTTGGCCCTCAAGCCTGAGGCGGTGGAAAGGGGCCTCACATATGGACAGGCCATCGCCCAAGCCAGGTCGACTGTAAGTTTTGGAGAGCTAGGCATCGGGCTGGCAAAGTTCCGGACCGGCATAACGGGGGCTCGTATTATTGAGCTTCCGAAAGAGACCTCCCCGGCGCAAGCGGACTCCCTGGCCGCTAAAATTGAGGAAGCTATGGGTGATATCGCTAAGGTGACACGCCCAGTCAAGACAGTGGATATCCGAGTCGTCGGCATAGATGATTCGGTGTCCGCTGCAGAATTAGCAGAGGCCATCGGGCAGTCAGGGGAATGCCTCGCTCGCCAGATTAAGGTGGGTAAAATACACACCGGATCACGGGGGACTGGTGCGGCATTTATCTCGGTCCCTGTAGAGGTGGCGAGGCGCCTGGAGAAAGCCAAGCGCATCTCTGTCGGTTGGAGCTCCGCCTCGGTCCATATTTTGGAGGCTGGGCCAATGCGGTGCTACCGCTGTATGGGAACTGGCCACCCTGTACAGCGTTGCCCCTCCGCTAAAGATCGCAGTGGTTTGTGCTACCGCTGCGGAGCTGAGGGGCACAAGGCAACGGACTGCACAGCGGCGCTCAAATGCGCCGTCTGTACAGACGCAAAAATATCGGCAAACCACAGCATGGGGGGGCGAAAATGTAACCCCCCACCGGCTAAGGGTCTCATGGCTCCAGTAAGGACGGCTGAGGCTAAACGTCCTAAGCCACTGCCAACGTCCCTGGCGGCGACTACGGAGGAGCCCATGGAAACCAATGTCCAGCAGATTCCTTGAGCTCCTCCAAGTGAACGTAAACCACTGCGTCGCGGCGCAGGACCTGATGTGTCAGTCGGCGGCGGAGTGGTCCGTGGGACTGGTGGCCGTGTCGAAGCCATACTAAATTCCGCCTCAATCGCCGAATTGGCTAGCGGACACAAATGAGTCCGCCGCCATTATGCGGACTCCCGGCAGTACAGGCCCTTCTCTGGTTTTCAGAGAGAGGGGTGCTGGCTATGTAGCCGCCTCGTGGGGGGGGAATTGTAGTGGTATCCACATATTTCTCCCCTAACCGCAGTCGGGCGGACTTTGAGGTCTACCTGTCTGCGTCCGAGGGGGTCGTACTGAGGGCAGCCCCCTTGCCGGTGCTAATAGCGGGTGGCCTCAATGCCAAATCCACGGCGTGGGGGTCAACCACCACTGATGTAAGGGGTAGGGATCTGGGGGACTGGCTTCTATCCATGGGACTCCGGATCCTTAACGTTGGAAACACCCCGACCTGCGTCCGGTGGAACGGCTCGTCAGTGGTGGACGTGACCTTTGCCACTCCCTCCTTGGCCAGTCGTGTGGTGGGCTGGCGAGTGGAGGACAAGGAGACCCTGTCTGACCACCAATACATCAGATACGGGATCTCCTTGACATCTCGCGGGGCTAATAACACCAGGAGCCCCACTATGAGCGCGTTCCCTAGGTACGCGCTCACAAAACTCCGGCCAGAACTGGTGGCAGAGTCGGCGATGGTGCGGGCGTGGGCTGATGCGCCCCCCCACCTCGCCGGGGATGTTGACGGCATGGCGGATCTTTTCGCAGATGACATGAAAGTCGTCTGCCAAGCCGCCATGCCAAGGGCGCAGGCCTGTCCCAGGAGAGGGCAAACGTACTGGTGGACGCAGGAGATCGCGGACCTGCGTACCACCAGCTTGAGGGCCAGGCGCGCCTATCTGAGGTGCCGTAGGCGCGCCTCAAGCACACCCGACGACGAGGCGGAATGTCGTTGGGTGTACAAGGAAGCGTAGAGGGCCTTAAGGAAGGGCGGCCATTATCACGTCCAAGAGGGCGTCCCGGGCGAGCTTCATAGCTCTCCTGGACCAGGACCCCTGTGGGCGGCCCTACAAGGTGGTGCGGGGGAGGTTTTCGGTTAGTGCTCCCCCCACCTCGGCCATGGAGGAGGGGCTGCTGGACCGGGTACTAGGGACTCTTTTTCCCAACCCGGGCCCGTTTCAGCCCCCGAGAATGCTCCCTCCTGGGGGCACCTCTGAGGAGCCGAACCCGCCCCCCCCTCCCGTGCCGGATTTGGAGTTTGAGACGGTGAGGGACCGGCTCCGGGCCAAAAAGACGGCGCCCGGACCGGACGGGGTCCCACCAAAGGTTCTGGCCCTTGCCTTGGGACCCCTGAGGGAGCGGTTCTTGGCGGTGCTGAACCTCAGTATCGCCGCGGGCCGCTTCCCCAGGAAGTGGAAACAGGGGCGGCTCGTCCTACTCATAAAGGACGGCCGCCCAGAAGACTCTCCTTCAGGGTACAGGCCAATTGTGGTGCTCGACGATGCCGGGAAATTCCTTGAGAAAATCCTGGCTCTGAGAATCGTCGAGCACCTGGAGGGGCCGGGCCCGAACCTGGCCGAATGCCAGTTCGGGTTTAGGCGCAACCGGTCCACGATAGAGGCGGTGGCCCTTTTAAAGGGGTGGACTGAGGCGGCCACTGCGCGGGGTGAGGCTGTTATTGCGGTGTCGCTAGACCTCCTCCTCCTTTTAATAGCCTCCCCCACGAGTGTATCATGGAGGCACTACGGTGTCATCGAGTGCCTCCATACCTGCGCGCCATCGTGGAGGACTATCTACAGGGCAGGATGGTCCTCTACGAGGGGCCCGACGGGTGCATCTGCTCGCGGGCCATGGCCGCAGGTGTGCCCCAGGGTTCAGTGCTGGGTCCACTGCTCTGGAAGCTGGGGTACAACTGGGTACTGCGAGGCAGCCTCCTTCCTGGAATGGAGGTTGTCTGCTTCGCCGACGATACTCTTGTCGCGGCGAAAGCAAAGGAGGTGGAGGATGTGGTGCGCCTAGCGTCGGTCGGCACATTGATGGTCGTCCGACGCATCCACCTCCTGGGCCTGGAAGTGGCCCTCGACAAATCGAGGGCCATGATGTTCCATGGCCCACGTCGCAGTACCCCTCCGGGGCTCCATATCCGGGTGGAGGGGGTCCGAATACCGGTCGAGGGAAGCATGAAGTACCTCGGCCTGGTACTAGATCCCCGATGGAGTTTCGAGGAGCATTTTAAGCTCCTCACTCCACGGCTGTGTGCCGCTGCAGCCGCACTCGGCAGGGTCCTCCCGAACGTGAGGGGACCAGGTACTGAGTGCCGTCGACTGTATCACGGGGTGATACGGTCGATGGCACTTTACGGAGCTCCGGTTTGGGCCGAGTGCTAGGTGCGGAGATGCGGCGGAATCCCTAAACGGGGATCCCGCGGTTTCGCGCTAAGCAGCTTAGAGGGTATTCGCAGGACTTTTTTAGCGGATATTATGTCGTAAAGCGCCCGTAGGAGTTGCGGGGTCCTCGGTGGACAGCCACTGGGGTGTGGTCCGTTCGGCGGTGTGCCTCTTAAAGGCGCCGTCGTCTGTAAATAGCATTTTTTACCTGCGTTATAAAAAAAAAATGGTGGACGAAATAACTGCGAGCCAAAATACTTCATTTCCTGGACCAACGGGAATAACCGCGCATTTCCCGTGGTACAGTTGGGATAGTCCGGTTGACTGGAGAATGGTTAATTTTTTTTCAGTAGTACTGTTAACCGGAGATGTGGTAATTTTTCCTGACAATTGTACAGTTCAACAGACAGGCGAAAATTTTTATATTGCATGGTACAGCCGAGTGGATCACCATACCACTTAATTTATTATTGCGATAGTACAGTTAACCGGACTAAGGTAATTTAGTATTAAACATTGGTATTTTAGGTATATTTTTGGTGCAACCGGGCCTTATTGTACTTAGCCTGCTTATATTAATAAACTAAAAGTTCATTTAGTAATGCAAAAAATGATAAATAAAATAAGTGGAAAGTGCGTGTATAAATTTTTGACTGTAGGTATGTCTTGCCGAGCTTATTGTATGCGCTACGTGATCCGAACAGTGCCCGCGTATGCCCCTCAATAGTCCAGTTTCTTTATGGGAACAAGGGGTCAATCTCGGAATTTTGGCGTTCTAAAAGTTGTCTGTCTCAAAAGTCTCATATTATCTCGTGTCTGCGTCGTAAGTTATTCGAGGTCAAAGGTCACGAAAATCGTTTTTTTGCAATTATCTCCGTTTCTATGTTTCAAATTGCTATTTACTTTTACAGGAACTATTACTGTGGCATTTTGAGTTGCATTTTATATTCTTGGAGCGACACTTGTACTTTTTATTAATACGGTATCTTTTGCAGTGGCACATTATAAAACCTTGCTTACTTCCAGATGAGCATCTATGTTAATAGATAATAATATGTAATAATAATGCGTGTGCTTGGTAAACAGGTAAAGTTACACAAAAATCATGTATAACGGAATTCTTCCCCTTTCAAAGTTCTGTCCACGACAGCCTATGTCCATATATACAGTTTGACTTACTATGAACCATTTTCTTCAAATTAACACAGGTAAAATCGCAGGGAACCTCTAGTTGTGACATATCTGTAATAGTTAGACATTTGGTATCGCAGACTTTTTTGTAGATATCGGTATCTACTATATAACACTATAGTACATCACTTTGCTCTATTATCAATGACTTCCGCAGCGTTCGCGTTATAAGGCTATTTTTTGCTATTTTTGTACACACGTTGGATTACGTAATCGAAGGTTTCATACGGAACCCTAACTTTTTTGAAAATACACTATAGCCTATATTAATCAGTGATAATGTAGCATTCAAACGTTGAAAGATTTTTTAAAATTGGTTCAGTACTTTTTGAGCCAATTCATTACAAACATACTTACATACAAACCTTTTCTCTTTATAATATTAGTATAGATGAATAATTGTAGTATGGAACTATGGATATGTTTTTCCATATATACATGCTGTAGGGCTAGCTCCTCAAACTAGAATCAATACATGCTTCATGATGGATAAAATGATAACATTTCTATTACATTGGTTAAATTTATTTTATTTATTAAATAAAACATTTAAACGAGACCTAATATTATTACACAAATTATTTGAAGTTTAACAAATTGCAAAAACACTTTTTAAATAGGATCAAACATGGATTGTGTAAAAAATACATAAAGATCATGCTTTACTTTGTTCCAAGTTTGATATGTCTATTTTCTAATTTTATTTCTGAAAAAAACTAGGGCTGAAACTAAGTTGAGAGGGTGACAGCTGACCACTGAGCCGAAATAGTTTCCCGTTGATGGCGGTAGCTGCTTCCATCTTTCTCAAGAAAGCATTCTTGCAGGATGCATTTAAAGTCTTTTCTGTCAAGGTTTTATTTGAATCAGACCCAAGAGAGTTAATAATCGTATCAGCGTCGGTGTCCAAGTTTAGGATATTCGTCTGGGACTCTTCGCGCCATAGCTTCTGCAAATTCAAGGCCATCAATTCTAGCTGCACTTGTGACAATTCACGGATAACATCAATCTGCACCGACATCACGTTATCGCAAGTCTTAAGCAATGTATTCAACACTTCGAGGACATCAGCTCTGCGCTTCTGTATACTATACTGGCAGTCGATGTCCCTCTCGAAGAAGGCTAAGTGTTCGTACAACTCTGCCAGTTGCAGAGAACAAGTTATGTACTGAGCTGAGTGCTGTTCGAAGGCGTAGTAATGCTTCGCCCGCATCAACCACTTGTGTGTGAAAGCGAACAGTTTCCTCGCCTCTTCTGTGTTGCTGACCACTTTCAGTGGCACTCTATTTTCTGTTTCCGTAAGGTTTAAAGACGGAAAGGAGAAAAGCTTTTCCCGTTTTGCGTTACCATCTTCCTTTTCATCTACCATATCTTTCAAATTATCTTCTTCGAATTTCTCTGCATTGTCTAAATTGTTTTCCCCTAGTAAGTACACCGTTTTCCATAGGTCAGACCTGGAAGTGGGCTGGGAGAAATAGCGGCTCAGTATCATCTTTTTGGATAATTTGAATAGAGTTAAGCCGTATTTCACCCAATGATGACTCAATTCTAAAAAGTGCATTTCGAAATCGGCTTTTTGCAATACAAATTCTCCAGGTATGAGCTTGCAGTTATCGTGGCATGTTCTCAGCACATGGTATGCAGCGCAGAGGTGATGTCGGGCGTTACCCATTTCATTGAGGTATGTGAAATAATTACCTAGCCTGGCGGTCCGCAACGCCCACTCTTGTGGTGTGCCTTCCTTCATTTCTAGCTGCCTGCGCAGTGCCGTGTGGTTATACAGAGTATACTTCCCTGGTATATCGAGTTTGTTATAAAGGAAAGCTTGCATTTGAACGTTGTTCGTGATAATTTTATCGATTTTTTCTGGGTTTATTCGTTTAATTTTGTTTAAAGGTTCCGAAGTAAACAAGTCCTCGGCGTCAAAAAATTTATTTGGTTCCGCAGTGCTGATTTTGTCGTAAAGTTCTTCTGTATTTTCCAATATCTCTCGAGCGAGATTAACCTGATTCAGTTGGATTAGATGGTAGCATAAAAGATTCTGGATTCTTAGCAAAACAAAGAGGCATTCGTCGCTTAGAGCGTATGGTTTCAGCTTATCGTATGCAACTTGAAGAATGTTGCGTTTTTCCACCAAAGATATAGGCATAGTTTTGGCAGAAAGGAGTGAGAGGTAACCTTCCATAGCGATCGATCTAACATACTGCTCATGGTTTTCACTGCCTAGAACCACCAAATCCGTGAACAATGACTGGATGTCCTTTTTTAGACTGTGAAGTCTTTCCGATGAATTTTTATTTTTTATTGCTGTTATTATATTTTCAAATGTCTCTGTTATGCGATTTATTGTATCCATTTTGTAGTAAACACTTAAAATTTTATTCCCAAAATCACTTGATTGTATCAATGGATTTTTATTGTTAACATTTTGAAAGAATTCTGGTGAATTTGTCATTAACTGAAGGTTGAAATTTACTGGTTGCCAGTGTTTTATTGCTGTTGATGTTTTGATGTCATAGAGCAACGCGGCCCTTTCATACCCTCCATTCTCTATCGATTTCTGGAAAAGTTGAGCACTTTGGTCCATAATTGAGATCAGGATTAAGTAGGGATTGAGCACAAGATTAACAAAAATGCTCCAAAAAGTAAAAAAGGAATAAAGGTTAGAAAATTTGGTTCTTTGAATAAACATCAGGGTAAAACAATCAAAGCTAACTATCCGTGAAGTTAAAGAAATCCTTCACAATCAATTCTAGCCATGTTCTAGCCAAAGTACGTCTTAATTGGTTGAATTAAACGAGAAAAAACCGGTTTTTACTTTCCTAACTCCTACAGAGCTTAATATTTCGGATATTCCGAAAGACTTGGAATCCTTAAAATTTTTATCGTATTTTTTAATAGCTATATATTAACCTATTACTCAAAGGGCCATGGGCGAAATTAAATTCTGACCTCATTTTCGGATTCAGAACCCTTCGAGGGCTTCGGGAACATAACTAGGGATTGCAATACAGCACTGCTTTTAATCGCGCGGGGCATTTGCTGAATTGATTTGATTACAGCGGCAACCATGTGAATCCGCAATTTATGCGGGGTCCCGTAAAACTTAATGACAAAATCAAATTTGTTCAAAATCGAACAGTAATGACAAAATCAAAATGACATGGAATATTATAAACAATGAAACTGGAAAATCCAAAACTCGCAAAAATAATTATAAACTAAATATTGATAATAAAAAGGTTACATCAGATATTGAAGTTGCTAAAGCATTTGAAAATTTCTTTACTGATATTCCAGTTTCAACTACGAAATCTTTGAACTCTTCCCCCATTGCTGCCGAATCAATCTTAAGAGAAAACGTGAAACCTTGTACTACTTATTTTCATTTTAAACATGTTGACTTTAAAGATGTAATAAAAACGTTTCACAAATTAAATAAAAAGAAAACCGCGGATCTGTGGGGCAATTCCGTTGATGTTTCTAAATCGGTAATTGAGACAATAGCTCCTATTCTAGGTTGCATATTTAATGATTGTGTTGACTGTGGTGTTTTTCCTGACCTCATGAAATACAGTAAAATTACTCCTTTGCATAAAACGGGAAGAACATCAGACCCCACAAACATCAGACCAATTTCTGTACTTCCCACCTTTAGTAAAATTTTCGAAAAAATCATGTTAGATCAAATGCAATCACATTTTAATAAATATAATATACTTCATTGTAAACAATTTGGTTTTACACGGGGTCGTTCAACAACCGATGCCGGTGTTGAACTTATACAGCAAATTTTTGACGCCTGGGAGAACTCGCAGGATGCTCTAGGTGTGTTTTGCGACTTGTCCAAGTCTTTGGATTGCGTTTTTCATGAAACATTACTCAGGAAACTCCACCACTATGGATTTAGAGATACTGATCTGGATCTTATTGCATCATACCTGAGGGATAGGATTCAGAGGGTTGACATTAATGGTAATAAGTCTCCGGGTTCGCCGGTTAAGATGGGTGTTCCGCAGGGCTCAATCCTAGGTACTTTCTTATTTTTAATTTATATTAATGACACCTTACTATGTAAGAGATAACCATGAGATAGTATTGTTCGCGGATGATACATCACTTTTATTTAAACTCAAACGCAAAGAAAGTTATTGACGACGTGAACAATTGTATCTCTAAGGTAGTCCACTGGTTCAATGTTAACAATTTATTACTTAATGAAGGAAAAACGAAATGTATGAAATTTGTATTACCTAATGTAAAACAGGTAAAAACCAGTGTGAATGTAAAGGATAGGAATGTGGGCCTTGTAGACACCACTATATTCTTAGGGATAACTTTAGATTCTAAGCTTCAATGGGGCCCACATATTTATAAATTGTCAAATAGCTCTGCAGCATATGCCGTAATGAAGATACGCCAGCTAACGGATGTAGATACGACCAGATTAGTGTACTTTAGTTATTTCCATAGTGTAATGTCGTACGGAATTTTATTGTGGGGAAATGCCGCCGACATTCAAACTATTTTGTGCTGCAGAAGAGAGCTATTCGATCAATTTATAATCTTAAAGTTAAAGAATCATTAAGAGATAAGTTTAAAGAATTTGGAATAATGACGGTCGCATCACAATACATATACGAAAATTTATTACTTGTAAGAAAAAATATTAATTTGTTTCTTAAAAACAGTGATGTTCATACAGTTAATACAAGAAACAAAAATAAACTAACTTTACCTGCTACTAGGCTTCACAAAATTAATAATTCATTTAAAGGTCTTTGTGTTCGCTTAAACAATAAAGTCCCAAGCAATATCCAAGAGTTAGCCATAAATAAATTTAAAGATATTATAAAAAAAGCACTTATTAAAAAAGCTTATTACAAAGTGTCTGATTATATTACAGACAATAATGCTTGGGTTTGAACTGTTCCAATTATTCCAACAGGTTTTCTATATTAAATAAATCATAATTGTATTGACGTTGTAACAACATAATGATTTGTAAATGCTGTTACATTAGACTTTTAATGTTGTGGAGTTTTTTTCGCTCGTTTTTCTCCGCAGCTAAAAAATATGTCAATAACAGTGGTAGGGAAAAAAATTTTTGGACGATTCAAAAGAGTTGTACTATACATCCAATTTGAATAAAGATAGGTACTTAATTCCATTATATGTAATCGAATTTCGGGGTAATTTGTAGGGGAGGGGGAGGGGGGGCCCGACCCCCCCGCCATAAAAGATTTTTGGCGGAAATGCAGTTTTTTTTTACCTAACCTAAAAATTCATTAAATCTGTTAAATGTAGTGGAATTTCAGGGGGATAGGTATAAGGGAAGACTCCTCAGAGGGAAGGGTAACCCCCCCCCCCTCCCGGCGTTTTTTTTTACAGAAATGATAATTATAAAAAATTAGAGGGGTTTTAAAGGTAAAACTGTACTTCCAGGGCCTAGATTTTTTTGTAGAAAAAGTCTATTAACGAATTTTTCTTTCTGGCGCTTCGCCGGCCGCTCCCGCGGCACGCTCGCTTCGCTCGCTCGGATCGCGCGTTAAGGTCACAACACTAACCTAACCTAACCTAGTGTGAAGTATTACCACACAAGCGGCTCATTAGAGTCCAAAAACTCGCACTACACTCGACTCTTCAGGCGAAGGGACAGCAGAACTCGAGGCCGAAGGCTTTGAGGATGCCATGGTAGTCAGACGATGTTAATATCAACAGGAGTACGAAAAAGCTCTCAATTGTGACGAACACAAACACTGACTGACAGATCTCATTAATGGCGGTAAATTGTCACATTTTGACATTAGCACCAACTTAATAAACTTAATTTTACCATAGACAACGAGAAACATGTTATTTTTGCATAAAAAATGGCAGCACTGATCAAAATTTCTGTCAAAATTGACTCATAACCTACAAAAACATTAATTTTCAATATTTTTTTTACTCGAGTTCTATTAGTTTCCGCCTAAAAAGATTTCGTGTACGTGTTTATAATAGTTAATACTTTGCGTGACAAAAATTTCAGCTTGCAACTCAATTACATATAATGGAAAGCTGAGCCTAAAGATATATTGATTTCTGATTTGATTTCTTAAAATTACGTTAGATACCGCTGTTTTGCAATCCCTATCAATAATTTGTTACAAAGAATTATTAGTTGAAATCGGCTTGCACTTTAGGACCTTCCTTCATTTGCTTCGAAGAGACAGCACCCTAATGCTGTTTTTTTAGAATAAGTAGCAATAATAAACCTAGAGAAAATTTTACTAGAAAAAGATCCACGCGTACCAGGCAGACGGGATTCAAACCCGTACCTTCCGCTATTCAGGCGGATGTACTGACCATTATGCTACCGAGGCCCTAATGGCCATTTAGAATTTCTGCTAGTAGTAATAGTCAGTGCTAAAAGAAACATGGAATGTTTATTTTTCTGAGTTATTCTTGGAAAACCTTTGAAAAACGTGTTTATTGTTGAAAAATTGGTACTTTCCCACTCTCGAATAAATCGAAAAGTATTGATTTTCAGTAAAAACTTTATAGCACAAAAGTTGCGGAGAATGAGTCAATCTATCCATTCCCATACTAATATTTAGTAAAAATAAAATCACTGACAAATTTTGGTGCTAATCGGCTCTGTTCGGTAAAATTGCTAGGGAAACCATGCATTGACTGTACTATATAAATAAAAAAGAAAAAGATGCAGCGATTCGAGCATTTATTCGGATGATTAACATTTCCATAGCGATTTTAACGTTTTAAGATACTTCAAATGTTAAAAAAAACATTTAGCCTGTTATACATTTTTCCTGACCTAGAGAATATTTGCTTTTTTCATTCTGTTTTGTCCGAAGATGGCTCCGACTGATTTGGGAATAATTGCTCCTGTAGGAGATCGAAGCAGCAAATCCCCTTGAGACCTTTAGATCCCGAGCCCTTTCCTTCAACGGAGAATTTGAAACCTTTCGGTGTTAGTTCTTCTACTGTCGGGAACCCCTCCTTGATAGGGATGGCAGAAGTACCCGGTGCATTTGGGTGCACTTTGGGTGGCATTGGATAAAACTCATCTGGTTCCGGCACTGGCTCGTCATCAGGACATTCGCAGGTTTCTTTATTCTTGCTAAACAGTGATAGTCTCACTTTCCAAGCTGGTTTAGGTTTCATCTTGGGTTTCGCATTCTCGTCTTCACAAACACAATCTTCGGTTTCTACGGCTGGCTCAGGAATTTCTTCGGGATGTAATTGAAAGTATTTAATGGCTTCGTCTAAGCTCATTTCGGTTATTGGCTTCTTTCTAATTTTAACGTTAAAACCGGATACTTTTTGCGTATTGTCGGATTTTAGCTTCAATCCAGCTTCCATTTCAATTTTCTGATTGTCTTCTATCAGTTCTCTTAAAATGCCGTAATCTATAGGGGTCTCTGGCAAAGGTTCTACGTTGCAGTCGCAGCGTTGTTTTACTTCTCGATTTGGATTACAAGTTTTTTCAGCACAAAAGCATTTTTTGCCTTTTACACCTTTACCGCCTGCGCATACACAACACTTACAAATCTTTTTACCGTGGGGTTCATCGATTTTTTTTTGCTCCTCTTCTGGAGCAGGTGGTGGTGCTGTATAATGAGAGCAAGGGCACAACTTTTTGCGTATTTTTTTCAATTTGTCCTCTCCATCACAAAAACATTTCACTTTGCCGTCGACGGGCCGCCCGCACGTTTTGCAAGTGTGTTCCCCGCCATCTTCTGGCTTCCATGTTTTTTTTGGTATTACTTTCTCAATGGGCTTTTCTAAAAGGAAAAGTTTAAGAAAATTAGACTGATTTAAACCACCCATCATTGACTTAAACCGTAATAATAATTTACTGATGCTGTGAATTCAATCATTTTGCTCTTTTATTCTCTTGGTTAAATTTAAATTAAATTTTCCCTAATTTAAATTGGAATTTTGGAAGGAGATATTAGCTAATATAATATTATAATAATGTGAGTTTAGTTAATCAAGTTCTCTAGTCTACCACAGTATGTTGTTTTTCTTGATGATAAATAAAGTATTATTTAATTTGTCTTTCTCCATATAACTGTACTGGACGCGGTGAAATGAGGATTCGGTCTATTAAAAATCCGACCAAATGCGAACAAATATCAAATTACTTTATTTTTTTTCAAACAAATTTTGCTTATGAATTAAAGAAGCTTACCAGGCTGGGGGCAACAAGATTCATTTTCTCCGCAGTTTGTGGATGTGGTCTTTAATTCTTTTCCTAGCTTGTCAAACAGATCTAGCAAAGTTTCTGGATGACAGGAACCTCCGGGTTGGTCAAATTGTGGTAGTTGAAGATCTGGGATTCCTGATCTGGGCCACTGATTAAGACGAACAGGGGGTCGGTTACATGGTGGAATATGGCAGACTGATAATTTTATAGGTGATTGTTTTTGGCCAATAAAATGTGCGTTTTGAGGAGTAATTATTGTTTTTGATCTTGTGAAGCGATAGGTCTCCTCCTCTTCTTGTTTCAGCCCTACGAAAAAGAAATATTATTTTTTCCATAGAAACTTCGTGTTATTTGCATATAGGCTTTTATGCGTGTTAGTTAAGCTATTACGGGCTGCCCATTAATCAAGTGAGGCTAGAAAGGGGGGGGGGGAGTGGTCCTTAAAAAATCACGAAATATCACAAGGGGGAGGGGGGATGTAGTAATATCACGTGTATTTCCGTGGTACTAGGGTACGGTACATTAAATAATGTTCATGTATTAATTAGTCCAAAAAAGTTTTTTGCATTTCTTTCAATAATTTTATGTCAGTCGAAAACAACCTGCAACCTTTCTGTCGTAATAACTAAGTAAGTTATTATTGGTTTTCTTTAATTTTCTTTAATAAAATTAGATGATACTTATACCTGTATTTTATAAATATGTATAAAAAATAAGTTTCTTTGTAAGTAGTAAAAAATACACGTGGGTCAGCGGTGGGGCGGGATAGTATTAAATCTCACCACATATCGCCAAGGGGGAAGGGGGTTAAAAATGCCAAAAAATTACATCACGTGATTAATGGACGACCCCTTACTATGGCAGAAAATCTAAAATATTTGTGAGCAAATGTGAGCCGTTTTTAATGTAAACGCAAGTTACCTTGTCCTGCCATCATTGGTGTTAATATTTCTGATAACATAGCTGAACATTGACTGCTGTTGATGTTGACTTTCTTCGGCATGCAACAACAAGGTCTGTCTCGTATAGTGTCCACACTGACAGCATGATACATCTTATCCGGTTTCAATGTTATACTTTTTTGTATTCGATATTCAGTCGTATCATATTCTTTTTCAAATTTTAACGATTTTTGAAGATTATTTTGGACTAAATCTGTACCATTTTCACTCCGTGATTTGGATAACCACCCTTTTCTTTTACTTTTCTTTTGCTTTTTTTCATTTGTTGATGTTTTTGCATCATTATCTAAAAAAATAGTAAGTAAATTGTTCTAATTATTAATCTTACTATATAGGTACGGATATACTAATTGATACGGAACAGATAATTATAATTAAGAAGAAATTGCAAACACTATCTTGGCAATCTGTTAGTACTGTATACCCGAAAATGTATTAAATATTGCGAGAATGTCATTCCAGCAATAAATATACGCATGCAGTAAATATGTATTAAATAATATATGCTATTTAAGAAGACCTCATTATAATATAATTACCATCAGTTTTCGCGGACTTTTTTTTCCATTTATTAGTGCTCTGTGACACTTGCATGCAGATAGGATTCATAGAATGTTCACTAACATTATCATCATCATCTGATGTAGATATAACCAGAAATAACGAGGAATTATCAGAAAGCGATTTCTTCAAGATTAATTTATTTACAACATCTATGATATTGCGGTCAATATTTAAATCACTCGTTTTCACTGTTACATCATTGCATTTGTCTACACTTCTTTCTTCTGGTAAATCGATTCGCGACATTTTCTATATGCATTAAAACTCAGCGCGATTTTCAAACATTTGTTTTTGTTTACTATTAATAATAATTGTTTGGGGTAAAC